TGCACTTGGAATATATTCCAAGTGCAGTTATTTGAAACCACAGATAACAAGAATGTGGGTCACCTGTATACAATGTAAAATAATACCAAAACAATTGATTAAAAGGTCTTGAATCTGTGCTGAATCCCTGGTGCAGCAATACTTTGCTTAATCTGGTTGATGCTAACAGACAATAACTTACTAAATTTTTCTATCTTTTCCCAATATCATTGCCTGATGCAATGCAATAAACACTCTGTATTGGAAGCATAAAGCTTATTCAGTTCATATTTAGAGACCAAATATCTTTATCAAGAGATTAATGGATGCATAGTTAATAATTCTTTAACTTTCTCCTCTAAAAATTAACTTCAGCCAATGTTTGTTTCTTTTTATGAGAAATGTATGTGATAATTAATGCTTTATATTATCCTGTACAAGTCCCTATTAATGTGAAAAGCTCTACCATCTCCTGTTTCATCTGCTTAATAAAATCTTTATCTTTTATCTGATATGCACTGAAGGACCATTTTAAAAATGTATTTAAATTTAAATTTATTGAAATATTATTGAAAAAAGCAAGTTGTTTCACAGGGACATGATGTGAAATTGTGATATCCCTTGACATGTTTCAACTTCAGAGATCAAAGATTGAGATATTGGTAAATATTCTAGCCAAAAGCTGTTCCTGTCTACGGAAGAAAAAAAATATAATTCCAATTAAGAAGGGTTAAGAAATACCAAAAATCTACTAAATTAAATTCAGATATGTAATCTTACAAAATATTACAAATCTGAGAATGCAGTTTGGGTGGTAGAATCTAAAAAGAATCAAAAGTTGATTCAGATAATCTCCCTATTCTATGGCATGCCAGCATAGTATGCAAGTGTTGAAAACAATTGTAGTTTTGCTGGAGAATCTGTAGTTTGACTATACAAATTCAGGAGTACTAAATGCTATCAATGACCTGTGATGGTATTAAAAAGTGACCTTCTCCATCTGATATTTCTTCTTCAACAGTTTACCAAATCTAGCACATTTTGAATTACCACCTTACATTTTCCTGTAAAAGCTGTATATCTTTATGCAGGTTAGGAATCTCCTGCAAAAAAAAAAAAAATCAATTTCAGTTCCCAGCTTTTTAATTCAGCTACATTTGTCTGAAATGACCCTAACTCTTTTAACATTCCATGATAAAAGGGAAATTGCTATTAGGTATTTTTAAAAAGTGACAAGAAAAAAAGGCATATGCCAGATTCATCCATGCTGTATCTGAATCAAAACAATGAGAAAAAATAAAATGATTTTTAAAAAGAATAGTGATAATTTTTTAAAAAGTGTAAATCCAGATTGGCACTAGTCAGACATTATACAACACTTGCCTACATCAATTAATCAATTAATCAAATTATTGTTGATATTACCTGAACCAATGGGAGGGAAAACGGAGACAGTTCTTCAGATTAAGCTATTAAAATATATTAAACTTAAATGAAAGCAGATTTACAGGAAGACCAAAAAGGAAAAGCCAGGGAGGAGGTGTAGAAAGAGGAGTAGAGAAGAAAAAAAGGAGGACAGAGCCAGCTGTAAAACAAACTGAAATTTGTAACTGTTCCCAGTAGCCAAGGTCATATAGATATAAAAAGCAAATGTGTAATTAAGAGCCAGAGTTAAAGAAATGCCCACAAGTAAACATAATAGCAAAACATGAGAAAAATAAAAGATACTCCTTCCCCTTCCAAAGTAAATTACAGAAGAAGTATGTTCTTCAGCTTTCACATGATAATTTCAAACCAAAACAACAGTAAACCTGATTAAATATTAAAGATTCTTCTCTCAAGTAATATATCTTGTGATATTAAACTTAAGCTGGTCCAAAAGTTTAGAATGAATTTTTAGTATTCTCAGCCTTTGCTCCATCTCTACCCCTCCATCTTTGCTTTAGGAGGCAGGGTGGAAGTTCCGCACTAGTGTTCAAGGTCATTAATTCAAGAGAGCAAACTGAAACATCATTCAGATACAACAGAAGTTGTGCTGATGAAGGTGTCCATTGATTTGGAGTTAGGCCTCATTATCATTATTAGCGTTGATATAGAGGGGAAATTTTGGTGACGTCTGGTTTCTCATTTTTCCAGAACTGTTTATTTCACCCCATTTCTGCATCAGTTTGCAATTTTAAAACACCACTGCTAGAGTTTTCCTTATGTAAACATCTTTGCATCCATGCTTCCCAAGTGATTTTCACAAATGTTTTCTCTAATATTACATTATTTTCAATTATGGGCACACCTTTCAATATGCTTTTAATTAATGTATTATTTTTGTGTGTGCTTTCTGACTGGAGAACTACATTACAAAAACAAAATGAAAAAAAAAAAACAATTTTAGTTATTACCACTTGCTAAACATCTTAACAGGTAAAGCTATGGTGAAGCATATTTTCTGTGGCTAGCGGCACATTTTCTTCATTGTGGCTTGAAAGAGAATGGTAGAAAAAGCCAAGAACTAAAACTGAGATTGTGAGATGTATCTTTGATGAAGTATGCAATATGGGGTTCCCTCTGTGTACTGCATACTACACAGTCGAACCAGAATGCTTTTCTGCTGGCCTAGATACAGTCTAGGCTAGCTCAATATAGTCCAGGAGAGCTTCACCCCAGTACCTTATCAAGTACCAAGATAATAGACGATGCTTATATAAAGCAGCCTCCACTAGAGTTGATGCCAAACTGGCACTACTGAAGTGAAAATATCCCTGACTGATTATTTTGGATGATAGTGGAATCATGAGAAATGTCTGAAAATATCTGACTTAATTCCATCTCAAATTGAAGCTCAGGGTAGTGCCTGGATGGGAAACCATATTGTTGCAAAGCTTTGCAAAGGGAACTAAGAGTGATTTTAGTTCTGTACTATTTTCTAGAAAATTATCAGTCTCAAAACAATAACATCTCCCTAACTACTATATTTATATCACTTCTTTAGCATGGAAAATGATTCATTTAATACCCTGTACTCATAACTATTTTCTCTTTGGATCCACCACTATTCCCTCATTTTTAGGAGTTTATTTTTCCCTGGGTGTAAATATCCTTTCTAATTACACTTCAGCTCTTTCTTTGGTTCTATCAGCAATGGTGTCTCTGCTCATGACAGTAGGAGCCCCCCGTCTGCTACTTTTCTTGCTGCTTTCAGTGCCAAATAAAAGTATTTCTCAATTCTCCCATCACATCCTAAGCAGTCTTCTAGGATCAATGAAACATAAGCAGTATGAGATTTAACAATCTATTACGATGAAACGTTTGCTCACTGAAAAGCTAAAGAATACTTTCATCATCATCCCAGTTATCCCAACTTAATCTCAATTAGAATTAGAATTATAGAAACCAATAAGCCCATCCGGACTCCTTTAAAATAACAGCATATAGAGAAAATAAATAAAAGTAATACTGGAATATTATTTCATGTGTAAAAAAGGTAAGCAAGCAAAGCCCAAGGTTGATGGCACAAAGAGATAAAATGATCATCTTAACTCCTCCAAAATATTTCACCAGATATTTTGAAATTACAGAAATGTGTTCCTTTTCTGTAATGTATTTGTTTGTGCTATGAGTGCTACCACACATTGATTGGCACTGGCGGACTTCCATCTTTGCAGTACGATATGCAATTTGGCCCTATATAACCAGAGCCTCTGTTCATCATCTATGCACCAGTTCTAAGGAATATGCCATATATACTGATTCTGATTATCATATCATTCCAAAAAGATGTTATAGTATTACCATCTCAGAAAATGTATTGGAGATTAGCCTGTAATGTCTCACATTTCCAGCAATCAACATTTGTTCAGATACCCAAACAGCATAGCATTTGGAGACCCTGTGCATTTTGAGGAGTATTTTTGTTAGATAATAGAGATCAAAGATGGACATCTTTAGAGCTGTCAGGTAGTGTTACTTCATGATGATTTTAATGTTGATTTAACCTCATTATTCCAGCTGAATGTACATACATTATGCAGAGCTGCTATCAAACGGTACATGGGAGTTTCTGGGACAGTCACAGGAGGCTAACCTAAATTTATGGACCATTGATTTTGCATAACTTTTTAACTGTTTCCCATTTTGTTTATGATCTGAATAAGCAAACTAACTGATTACCTTCAATTTTGCATAAAAATCTACCAGATGCCCCTTCAGGTTATTCTTGTTCAATTCTGCTCATTGGAAAACTCAAAACTCTACTGAGAGGGAGGGGAAGTAGCTGACATCACATCCTTTTCCACTAACGGAGACCCATTTCATCCATCAAGGTAATTATAATTCTCCTGTGCCTTTTCTAAAGACGGATTGCAAAAACAGAAAATGGCCAGAATTCTTTCTGTCCTATGGCTCCTTGGTCAGTTTTTATGTGAGTATGATGTTACTACTTGGGGTGGATGGTGGAGGGGAGGAGGGATCTTTAAATCAGCAGGAACTGAAGAACTTTAAAAAGTACTTTGAACATAATACCAGACTCCAGTCGGTCTCTAAAGACATGTACATTTCTTTTCTTTGTCAGAAAAATCAGAATCCAAGGCTGTATAACAAAAATAAGTCCAGCCTATCTCAAACTGTTGTAGTTGTGAGAAAGAAATGAAGGGGGAATCCATAGGTAAGCCAAAGGCGGGATACAAATCTAACTTGTTATTACTGTTATGTTGTTGTTATCTCTACAAGTCTGATTTTTTAAACAAGAATTACCATGTGGGATGGTTGGATAAAGGTGAGGAGGCTACCACTGAGAAAAAAAGACAGATAGATAATTGAAGTAGAAAACAGATTTAATATATGAGAAAAAAATAAATACTGTACATGCATGCATTCCCACATACCTATCACACTATTCCTTTTCAGGATAAGCAATATTGAGAGATACAATAGAAATAATATGTTTAAAAATTAAAAGCACAAGATAACTAAAAGGAAAGGAAACATAGCAAAGTATAGTTTGCACAAAACTACTTACTATTCCTCTCCATACCAATCTGTTCCTGGAAGACCATTTTTGCTTTTACGATGTCCACGCACTGTTTCATACATTGCCTGTTATTCTTTAGAGTTCTCATCTCTTTCTTTTCCAGTTCATGAGTTCCATCCAACCCCACCTTTCTTGGTCTTCCCCTTCCTCTAACACATGTATTCATTGTTTCTTCCTCCCTTCCTTCAAATATTTATTTTGCAATTCAGTCCTCATTCATTCTTACTTGAACAAATAGTCATTCCTTCCAACAGACCATATACTACCCATTACTTTTCTACCAACATTTGCATGTATGCAAACATTCTACAAATTAATATTTGTAAGAGCAACAAATTAATTTACTTGCTCATTTTTTGCCATTTACATATATAAAACTCATGATCAAATACAGCTACTTGATCTTTGACTTATTAACTGTCTGATCCATATACCTCATTGCATCACACAAGCTAACTTTTACTACAATCCTCTGCATACAAAGTACATGTACTTTCACATTCCCAATCAGCACATCTGTAATTTCACCAGTTTTTCCATAAATACATTAAACTACCAAAAGAGTTGGTTTTTGTTTTTGCAGCTATAATTATAGTTTACTACTCTGAAAATTCAAAATCTGATATCAAATATCTGCATCTTTGCCACATGAATAGTTTAGTAAGGAAACAGGAGTTTTTAAGCAATTATTTAAAATTTATCTATTTCAACACTGGTATTAAATGTCTTGGAAGCATGTAACAAAACATAGTCAACACAAGGAGTTTCAGCATTAATATATGGAAAACTGGAGTTTTGCTTAAAGGGATTCGTCTCTCTGGATAAAAAATATATTCAGACGTGGTTCTGGCATAATTTTAATTTTTAAAAAAACCTTCAAACAAAATTGACATTGTAATACAGAATTTTCAGAGAGAAAATTTACCTGTGTGGTCACTAGGAGTTGAAAATGATGGCGCACAATCAAGCAAGCAAGCACAGAGTTCAGCATAAGAAAACTGGAAGGTTTTACCACACTGAACTCTGTGCACAATCATGATCAGTAAATTCAATGTAATTCTTCCAAATTAAAATGATATGTCTATTTACTTTAATAGAAAGAGGGGGGAGTATTAGGGTATTCAAAAATATTTTAGATGCTGAAGTACTACAATATTTAGTTGAATAGTTTAAAGGATGTAATGAAAAATTGACTGAAATGAAGCTAAGTGGTACGAATGAGAACAGGCAAAAGAAAGATTTTCCACCCATTGTTAAACTACGGCATTTCCTACTGTAAGACATGGTGTTGGCCACAAAAATGAGATAGCTTTAAGATGTAATAAGACAAATTCCGGGAGATAATTAGTCACAACCAATGGCTACTATTGTGGATGGCAATATATATCTGGAAATCAGAGATGACCTGCTTTCAAATGTCTGTTTCTCAGCAAGATGAGGGGGAGAGTTCTCATCATGCCCCACTTGTAGGCTTCCCAGAATCACCTGCTTAGCTCCTCTGGAAGTAAGATTGCTGAACTGAGAGGCCGTAGATCTCATCCAGCAGCAGCATTCTTTCCTTGTTACAACAAATCAAATAAACCTTGATTGCTTGACCACTTGATCGATGCTTCTAGGAAGTCCAGCATGACTTGTAAAGGCCATTGAATCTGTCACTTTCTCATGATTTCTCATTTTTCATTTCTAAGTTCAGTTCACTCCATTCCTGTACTAGCTTGAGATGTAAAAAAAATGCATTAAAGTTTGCATGTACTTTGTTGCACATTTTTCCACCCATATGCATTTTTTTGTTTGCAATTTTGCCTCATGAGAACACGTTCTCCTAAGTTTCCTGAATATATACTTTTAGTTGTTTAAATGTGAGGGAACTGTTTCCAAGAACTGTACATTAGTATGGGTGTGCTCTCTCATGCCCACTGCCTCTCTCTCCACATTCTACACATTCTACACACACACACACACACACATTCAGTTGGCAAAGGATACTGAACATTTCAGAGAAATACTTCTACCAAAGGAACTTGCTTCCAGTTCTTTCCATTTCCATTCAGATGTGAACTAAAGCAGTATCTCCCCGTGTCCGGTGACCACGAGCGCCTAAGCGCTCACGTACTCCTCTGCAGTGTGAAAAAGGGCATCGGCCCCGCTCCTGCCCTCAAACTGCAATGGAATGGTGTGGTGACGGATAGCCACCTGCAGTGCAGCTGCTGCTGCATCTGTTTCCCACAGCCCTCCTTCCGAAGGGTGTACAGAGAGGGTAAACCATAGCTACACAAGGCACTCGCAAGCTCTGTTTTGTTGAGGCTAAGATTTTGGGAGGCATATTTGTAGATATGTAGAGCCAGTTTGGTGCAGTGGTTAAGGCACCAGGCTAGAAACCAGGAGACTGTGAGTTCTAGTCCCGCCTTAGGCACAAAGCCATCTGGGTGACCTTGGGCCAGTCACTCTCTCACAACCCCAGGAAGAAGGCAATGGTAAACCACTTCCAAAATCTTGCCAAGAAAGCTGCAGGGACTTGTCCAGACAGTTGCCAGGAGTCAATAATAACTCAAAGGTACACACGCACAGAGCACCTTAGGCAGTGTTGTCCAAACTTGGCCACTTTAAGATGAGTGGACTTCAACTC